TAGTCTTTAAAACAGATTATGGATCTTTGTCTCAGTTACATGAATTCTGGATCTTACTAGTTTCTTATTAAAATGGAATGGAAGAGTTCAATTCACTGACTCTGCACTCAAAATAACCCCTTAATGACTAAAAACCATCTTGCAGTCTTCCCCCAGAAAGCAAAAACAAACACCTAGCCCTTTTTATTTCCCAACTCTAAAAAATACTCTGGCTTCCCGTCAATTGTCCAGGTGAGAAAAAAGTTCATCAATGGCAAGTTTGACAACAGGGACATGACAGAGGAAGCCAAAGGGGAGTCTTTTCCAACTTCTGAAAGGTCTCACAGGCAACTCTAGCTGGTATATCCAGTTAGTGAGGCCAGATTCTGTCACTGAACACACAGCTGAAGTGCACGCACACAGAACTCCAGACAGAGCAGACAGCTTTGGGTAAATGTTAATATCAAATGACACCAGATAATCCTAAGTAACTAACATAAGCAACAGGGTAAACTAAAAATAAAAGGAGGTAACTACTAGCCCAACTTTCTTGTCTGAGGATTTTACGTATTTCCATAGGTTTATTTTCCTTCACCCAAAAACCCTAAGGTCTTTATAGTAAGGTAAGGATTTATGACAATAGGAGGAAGCAGTGTACATATATCACATTTCTTTCAGTTCCAGCGCCTGCGTGAACAGACATGAACTAGACCTTTTGGTGTCTCTGGACCACACTGGAAGAAGAGCCATGCATTGTCTTGGGCCTCACATTAAATACACTGTGATACGAAATCCCAAAAGCAGCACATGGCCCACAGGTTGGACACCACTACAGAGAATGGCAAAGGCCTCTGTTCCTCTCCCATCTTCTCCTCAATGTCTTCGATCCCCTCCACAGGCTCCCTAGGTTGACTACTATTACAGACCTGTCCACTCCCCTCCCATACATCTCCCTCCTTCTAAGAGGTCCTCTGCAGTCACAGATTCAAATATCTACTCAATTCTCTCCTCTCATCTTAGGGTCCTAAATTCTAGTCCAAAAAAGACAGCCACTTTTGCAGTATCTATTAAACTCAACACTGGCAAAACTGAACTTCTCATATGCCCCCCATAAAAGCTCCAACTTCTCACATCTTTCAGAAGCTCAGACACCTCTAACTACTTTAAACTCTTCTTCTCTTGTCTTACTCTGTTCAGAATACTGTAACATAAATGCCATAGACTGGGAGACTTAAACTGAAATTTGTTTCTCAGTCCTGGAGCCAAAAAGTCTAGTAAGATCAAGGCACTGGCAGATTCAGTGTCTGGTGAGGGCCCACTTCCTGGCTCAGACACCCCTCTTCTGGCTGTGTCCTCACTTGGCCAAGAGGTTGGAGAGCTCTCTTGGTCCCTTTTATGAGGGCATTAATGCCATTCATAACCTAATTACCTCCTATAGACCCCCCGACCTCCTAATACCATCCAGTTGGGAATTAGGCTGCAGTATATGAATTTGGGATTGACATAAACATTCAGTCTGCAGCATTTTTCTACCCCCAATTCCAGTCAGCACATTTACTCAATTTTCTCTTTGCAGTGTGTTTCATCTGTACCTTACCCAGTCATGCCCATCACCAGCTACCCAGGCTGACCCCTATAACATCAAAGACAGCAGGAGCTTCCTCACGGGTCTCCCTGCTTTTGTTCTCTCCCCTTGGTAACATAACAGAGCCAGGATTCTCCTGCCCCAACTCTTAAAAAAAGAAAATATCCTATAGTCTTCCATTCCTACTACTCAAAGTCCAAACTCCCTCTCACTTCGGGCTTTTGTAAATCCAAAAACCCAACCTTGCTATAATTGTCCCCTCCATTCAAAGGGGTGAAATCCTCATTCCCATTAAATATCTGACACATTGCTACTTCAGTTTCAATTATTCTGCCCATCCAAAATCACCTAGTTCCTGGTTTATCTCCTAGTACCATGCTTACCCAAATCCTGCCTCATTCATGAACCAGTTCAAATGATATCTCCTAAATTCCTATAGCAACTGTTCATGTTACTTAGCAATTAAGTACTATTATTATCCTAATAATAGTATCTATTAGCATCTTGAATTTTAAGTTATAGCAGGGAACCCTCAAAGATTGATAAAGAAAAAACAGACGGGCAGTTTCTTAAAAAGCTAAACATAAAATTACCATTTTTACCATAGACTCCTAGGTACATATCCAAAAGAAATAGAAATTTCCATTTACACAAAGACTTGCACAAAAATGTTCACAGCAGCATGATTCATAACAAAACATGGAAACATAAATCTTCATCATCTGACAAATGGATAAAATGTGGAGTATCCATACAATGGAATACTACTCAGGAGTCAAAAGGAACAATATGGATAAACCTTAAAACTTTACACTATGTGAAAAGATACAACAGACCATATACTATATGATTCCATTTATGTTAAATATCCAGAAAAGGCAAATTTATGGAAATGAACATTTGAGTAGTGGTTGCCTGGGGAGTGGGAACAGGGATCTTTGGGGAAGATAAAAACATTCTGAAACTAATTTATTGGGATTGTTGTACCACTTGATAAATTAAATCACTGAATTGTATATGTGATGAGTCACTTTTATATGCAAAACACACTTCAATAAAGCTGTTCAAACATTTTTTAATTACAGTGGTCACTCCAGTATTAGTTGAATATTTTATCTTTTTACCTGTTTTTATCTTTTCTCACCATCCCCTCTACTGCAATTAGACACTAAACATCTTGAGGGTATAGACCAAGTCTCCCATTTTTACACTAATTCTATTATGAACTGCACCTAACCCAAAGCTATACACACACAGTGTTCATAACTATGTATCGATTTGATTTTTGCGTTGTCAGGCTATGGAGTGACGCCATCAAGAACATCAAGGAAGAAACGGAGTATGTGAAGTTTGAATCACAGTTCCTCCACTTCATAGCTATGAACTCAGAGCAAGTTACTAGCCTAAGCCTATTCCCCAGGTCTCAAGTGGGGGGAGGGGGCGCGGGCGGGGGAATGGTAACTACCGTATAGAGTTGTTATGAGGATGAAATGAGGTGGTCTGAATAAAATGCTTGGCTCAGTGCTCGAAACATGTTAAGAGCTCACTGAATGTTAGCCTAAAACATGCATATACAAACCCTACCACAAATGTAATGCACCAGAGAAATATCTTTCAAACAGGAAACTACCTTCAACAGAGAGGACAACTACAGATTGATCCTTCTTCCTGTCATCCACCAGGCAAGAGGAGCCCTGTGTCAACTGTGATTAAAAAATAAACTTTAAAATTATAAATTTTTAAAAAAGAGTGACCCTGTGACTTTTCTCTCTCCCCCGCCCATTGAGGTTTATATTATCACCAGAACTACTACTAATCATTTAACAAAAGAAACTGAACACTGCCTACAGCTTTCAATATATAGTTTGTCTGCCTCTCCTACTTTCTCTCCAAGGTGGGATTTCACTTCCTAGCTCCCTTGGTGTTAGCAGGGCCACACATCCAGCTCTAACAGTGAGAGGAAGTAACATGTCACTTCCAAACCACAGCAGTTGTGAAAAACCCTCCACAGTTCTTTCCCTCTCCCACAGCAACTGGCCACAGTCCAGTCAGCAGCTGCTCTGTGAGCTCGGTAAGAATAATGTGGAGCAGATGTCCCAGCAACCTGCAATGGACAGGGAGTGTGAGAAATAAACTTTGTTCTATGCCTATGAGCTTTGTGGGTTGTTTCCACAGCATAACCTAGACTTGCCTGACAAAGTCGCAAGGTTCTCAGGCTGTGAAATTATCTATCTTAAATCTCTCACCACCCAAAAAAAACCTTCTGAAGACTTCACTCTCAGGCCTCTGTGACATGCCACACTTTCCCCGTGTTCTGGAAACCTCTCTAACCATTTCATCGACTCTAATTCCTCTAATTCACTAAACCCTGCTGTTAACCACAGTTTTGTCCTCTGCTCATTACTGTTTCCATTCTACATACACTCCAGAGAGACCTTTCCCACTCTCTTGATTTATCTACTACATATATATGAAAGCCATCCAAAGCTATCTCCAGGATGGTTCAGTGTTTCCCTCACACCCAAAGTCCTGCTGGGCCTAGCTGACCGTAAGCATCATAAACCCAACATATCCAAAAGCAAATGCATCATCTGCCAAGCCCCTTCCATACATGCATTTCCTCCTACAACCCCTACCTCAGTTAACAGCACCTAAATCCACTCAGTCACCCACATCAGAGAAACCTGAGTGTTACACTAGACTCCTCCCTCTCTCACCTCTCCCTCATTCAGCCAACCAGTCCAATCAATGTCACCTCCCTTAAATGTTCATTATTATTGTTTGAGGGGAGGGGAGATAGTTTATTTTTGTTTATGCTTATTACAGTGAATACTAAGGAAAATTATTTCAGGTTCAAAAAACATCTTATTTTGGTGTCAGCTATGACAGTGATGCTCTGCCAGAAGAGGAAATAGTCAAGTCCAGACCAAGAAACGAGAGCTAGGATTTGTGAATGCACAATTATTAGATTACGTCAGTAGCAACCTGCATCTTCATCTTTTTAGCTACTTAAGTAAACGTCTCAGAACTGAAAAGCTTTCTTTCTTTCTTAAAGTCTCTTAGGCATTACTCGTATTATTGTTCAAGTTTAAGACAGGGTAGATCTTATGTTTTAAGAAGTTCTCTTCTTCTAAGTCTATGAAGAAAGCATCCACTAATTCATCTCTATTTTCTCTAACCTGCCTCATTTTCTAAAACTGAATAAAACAATTCTGGTAGAGTAAAACCAGAGCCAATGCTTCTCAACAACTTTGGTTAAAATACTTGTAATTTCACAATCAAGGTAGATCACACAAATGGTACCTGCACTTTATGGTAGTTATGTGTCTGCTGTCCTTTTATTTTAACTATTACACAGCAGTATGTGCTTATCACCCCTGGTCTTCTTTCCACCTCAAACAACATTCAGAATTTATTCTCAACTGTAATTGAAAAATTTTTTAATTTTAAAAAAGAATTTATTTTCCATATAGATGAGTTCTCACAGCAGCACACTAAATTACGAAAGACCCCCCCTCCAAAAGTTTTTATTGCTTTACAATAAGCCAGCAACAAACACAAATGAATAATTATAAACATGACACTTCTAAATTCTCAAAGGGAGTTATAGGACCAGAATATGCTCCTACATTTAAAATGCTTTTGTTAAAACTAAAATCCACAATTTCTACCAAAAATTTTAATATTCTCAAGGAGAAACAATTTACTTAGCAGCAAAGAAAACTATTATCAAATTTACTGCCTATGTCTGATCATGTAATTAAGTCTACTATACTCAATACAGACAGTGCTATTATTGCACAACGTAGATGACCATCGTAAGTACTTCATAGATCCTAACACCTTTTCTCTTTCTACAAACTCTTCTGCAGAAAGAGCTGTCAGGAAGTTTTCTAAAATCCAACAATGCAAAGCAATATATGCCTTATTTCTACTTCTTTCCTTATAATCGAAAATTTGGTCAGTACTTAATTCAACCTGATAAAAACTTTGATTTCCATGCCAAATATCCCACTGTACAAACAGGAAACTCAAACTGGAATCAGGCATGAAAGGGTGATACATCTAAAATCTTTAGATTATTCTGCAAACACTAGCACCTTCCTTTCAGTGAGCTCCAAAAAAACTGGATGTCACCATTTTAAGAACTTTAATCCAATAGTAAGAATAACATGGCAAATTTTCTTAGTACTACCTAAAAATGGGGAGGGGAAGGAGTGTGCCAACAGGATTTATGTGACTTGCCCAAAACTGTGAATCTAAACCTGACTGTTGGAGAGACTTCAACAACCCGAAATTGCTTACTCTAAAAGACAGTACCAATCAGCTGTTTTCTTTGTTGTTGTTTTTTCCTTTTATCCAAGGTTTTCTCTTTCTTCCAGACAAAGCACAGCACTTTTCTCTCAGAACATGCCAGTCAGGCTAATTAACTTGACTAGGTGGCTTTATACTCCCACACCAAACAGTCCAGCTGGCTGCTAAGGAAAAAGGTTTCCTATCTTAGAAACATATCATGTGAAGTGCTAAAGATGTGTGTGAAAATGATGTTTAACTGTTTGCAATAGCAAACTGTTAAGGCAACATCAGGACACCGAGGTGTTTAAAACTTTAAGCCCTATCCTTCCCTCCCAGTAAGTAGAGACAAGTGATATGATGTTACTCAATCCTTTGGTACAAAAACTTCACGAAATACTATGTTGCATTTGACTTTGCAGTTTAATTCTGTATCTTAAGGGCAGTGAGAGAGAACCCTGGAGCCATAACTCCCTTGCAAAAAAATCTGAACATCTGATTTACTCACCAGGCTTAAAATAAGGAAGGAAAATATAAAATAAGTTTCCTTTGCTTGGCAACCATCCTTTTTAATTATCCGTTTTCATACCATATCCAGGCTATACCTGGATATGGATGGTTAATTTGGATATAGAAAATATCAAAGGACCACTTCTGAAGAATCACAAGTCAATAAACTTCTCAATCGGTAGCAGGGTAAACAAGAAACAAACTTTACCAAGAGACTGACATTTGCACTTTTTGACAGAACTGAATTACAGAGCATATTTACTGAAACAACAAAGAAAAACCTGTCCTTGTAAAGGCTATTCTTTTATCCCCAAAGAACTGTTTCAATTCTGATACACACCACACAACTGGCTACGAAAATAAAGCGCGGTGCTTAGCAATGGGGCATCATAACTACGGTGAGCAGTACTGTGCTCCTGTGCTCACCCTCACTGGCAACCACTGAGATCAGCAGGGCCAGGCATGGGTAGAGTCTCCTACTTCTCTACACAAGCTGCTGCTGTCTCCTTATTGAAGCCTCGGATGGAGAGATCATAGACCACCTCCTCTACTTTCTTCACATCGTACTTCAAGCCATCATAGCGCTTCCTCAGGGAGTCGTTTTTCAGGTTGAGAAGGCGGAAACCGGAATCCAGCTCATTGATGAAGGTGGAGATGTGAAGGGGCCGGGAGTAGTCTCCAGCAGTCACACTGTTGACAGACAGCCTTGACTATACAAGGAAAGAGAAACTGGGATGCATTACAACGTGGCTCCGCCTCAGCATGTCCTCCAAATCACAATTACAAGACTCTCAGGCCACAAAACTTTTCTATATTATCTTCGATAATTACATTTTTGACAAATGCTTAACATTACTACTAAGCAACTTAAGGAATCATTCCCTTTTTGGTAGAGTTTCTATGGTCTACAATTTATTTTTCATAAATATTATTAGTAAGCCCATGGTGAACACCCTTATAACAACTTATTTTTTCATCTTTAGAATTATTTTTATAACAATTTCTCAGAAAAGAGTCTAAGGGGACAAAAGCAAGAATAATTCATAAAGTTATGTAGGTAAGTTGTTCTTAAAAATGATTATATAAATTAACAATTACCAAGAACATGCTGTGCCACCATTTTGAAACAAAGAGGTATTACCACCTTTTAATATTCACACATTTGTAAATTATGCACAGCTACCTCACTGTTAGAATTGTCATTTCTCTGATGATCAGCAAAACATTAATACATACAGTGTATAGTCAATGGCTATCGGGTGACCAGCAGATGGTTTATAAATGAATCAGATGCCCTGAATTTTTGTACCCATTTTAAAAAATGACAGTGAAATGAGAAGATCAAAAAAGCAAATGGCTCCAGGACTAGACAGCTTCACTAGTGAAATCTATCAACATTCAAAGAAAATTTAAGCCTTGACTGGTGTGGTTCAGCTGGGTGGACACTGTCCCACAGAGCAAAAGGTTGCCGGTTCAATTCCCAGTCAGGCACACAGCTGGGTTGGCTGCAGGTTCAGTCCCAGGTCAGGGTATGTAGGAGAGGCAACCAATAGATGTTTCTCTCCCTCCCTTCTCCTCTCTCTAAAAATAAATAAATAAAATCTATAAAAAATAAATAGAAAGAAATTTTAATACCTATCCATCTCTAACTCTTCCAAAAAACTGAAGAGCAAGGAATGAATGCTTTCTAACTCACTTTGTATGGCCATCATTATTCTGAAACCAAATCCAGGCAGGGATAACAACAAAAAAAAAAAGATTACAGCTCACTATCTCTGATAAACATATATGCAAACAAAATACTAGCAAACCAAATACAATACATTAAAAGGATCATAACACCACAATCAAATGGAATTCCCTGTAGGGACACAGGGATGGGTCAACATTTGCAAATCAATCACTGTGGTAACATTAACAAAACAAAGGTTAAAAGTCATGGATCATCTAAATAGATGCAGAAAAAGCATTTGACAAGATACAACATCCATTTGTGAGTTAAAAAAAAAAACAACAAAAACCCTCTCAATAAATCGGTATAGAAGGAAAAGTACCTCAATAACAACAGCCATGTATGACAAGCCCAGAGCTAACTTCATACTCTACAGTGAAAAACTGAAAGCTTTTCCTCTAAGATGAGGAACAAGAAAAGGATGCCCACTCTTACCACTTTTATTCAACATAGTATTGTAAGTCCTAGCCAGAGAAATTAGTCAAGAAAAAGAAATAAAAGGCATCTAAATAGGAAATGAAGAAGTAAAACTCACTAGTCGCAGATGACATGGTTTTACATATAGAAAACCCTAAATACTCTACCAAAAAGTATCAGAATAAACAGAAACAGTAAAATTGCAGGATACAAAATCAATATACAGAAATCTGTTGCATTTCTCTATACTAACAATGAACCATTAGAAAGAGAAAGAAAAGTATCCCACCTACAATTGCAACAGAAATAAATGAGAACCTAGAAATAAATACGCACATATACGAACAACTAATCTACAACAAAGGAGCCAAGAATATACAACAGAGAAAGTCTCTTCAATAAAGAGTGTTGGGAAAACTGGACAGCCCTATGCAAAACAAGGAAACTATTGTACACCATACATAAAAATTAACTCAAAATGGATTACAGAGTTAAATGTTCGACTTGATTCCATAAAATACACAGGCAGTCGTAGTGGTATTTTTGTGAATTTAACTCCAAAGACAAGAGAAATAAAAAACAAAAACAAATGGGACTACATCAAACTTAAAAGCTTTTTCACAGCAAGGAAACCATCAACAGAACAAAAAAGGCAATCTACCAATGGGAGAAGATATCTGCAAATGGTATTTCCAATAAGGGATTAAATTCCAAAATATATAAAGAACTCATACAACTCAACCAAAACAAAAACCAAATTAAAAATGGGGAAAGGATCTGGAGTCATTTTTCCAAAGAAGACATACAGATGGCCAAAAGATACATGAAAAGATACTCAATATCACTAATCATCAGAGAAATGCAAATTAAAACCCCAATGAGATAACACCTCAAACCTGTCAGAATGGCTATTATCAAAAAGATAATTTTTTAACTTTATGTAATGGTTTAATGTACAAAATTTTATAAGCATCGTTGGGACTTCAAAAAAACAGAACAGGGTTCACTGGTTTAAAAGGTTGTGAATAAAAAAAACAATTCCAAAATCAAAATGGAAGCAAGCAAACTACAGAGCAAGATGCACTGAGAAAAATAAGCTACAATAAAACCTCAGTAATTAAAATTCATTAGGGATAAGTTCGAGTAGGTGACAATGTAAATAAATTTAAATGAAAATACTTAAATTCTCCATGAAATACAAATGTATACACTTCAGGGATAAAGACTAAATTGAATAAATCTAAAGAAAACAGTGTGGACTCATAAAAATCTTCATGAAAGGTATTTTAATGTAACTGAAAAGTGTTTCTCACCATGAGAATCCAGGCATGGAGAGTCCTCAGAAAACTAAGAATAGAACTACCATATGGTCCACCTAATCTACTTCTGGGTATTTATCCAAAAAACATAAAAACATTTATTTGAAAAGACATATACACCCTATACTCACCAAAGCATTATTTATAACATCCAAGATATGAAAAAAACTTTAGTGTCCATCAGAGGATGAATGAACAAAGAACTGGTATACATACAATGGAATGCTACTCAGCCCTAAAAGAGAATGAAATCTTGCCACTTGTGACAACATAGATGGACTCTGGAGGTATTACAGCAAGTGAAATAAGATGGAAAAGATGAATACCATATGTTCGCACTTATATGTAGAATCTAAAAAAACAAATAAGCAAAACAAAACAAAAACAAACTCATAGATACAAACAACAGACTGGTGTTTACTGGAGGAGGGAGTGGGGTGTTGGTAGTAAGCATGCAATAGCATATATAGGTACCAAAATATAATGTTGTACATCTGAAACTTCTGTTACTAACCAATGTTACCTCAATAAAAAAGAACACAAAAAAAAAATAAAAGGAAAATTACTAAGCTTATTACCAGTTCACTAGCAAGAATTAAAATTCCTGAGAGATAATCTTCCACATCCAGATGAAATCCTTTCTCCCGATCTGGCTCAACTGAAAAAATATCAAAGTAAAGATAAGGTCATGATGTGAATGCAAATTAAGCCTTAGCAGTTTTTTAAATGTGCACGCACACACACAAACACACACACAATTTCCTCCAAGTAAATGGAAAAGGGATGGATCATTTAAAACAAACTTTTTTCCCTAGTAACTTTTACATTTAATTACAGTTGATATAAAACATTAACCTTGGCAACTAGACCTCACTGCAAATTTTTCTAGCTCTTAAGCAAAATTTAATTTTCCCTTCCATTCTTCTCTCAAAAAGTAATACCATAAAGAATGGTATCTAGTTATGTCCGAGAAGAGCTGTTCTCAGAAGATGCTGAAGAAGCTTGCAACTGACTTCAAATGGTTCTCAAGAGCACACACATGCACACACAGACACACAAGGGAGGACGCTAAGCAGACTGACAAAATGTTAACGAGTAGTGAGTCTAAAGGGGTGTAAAAAGGTGTTCACTGCACTATTCTGCCAGCTTTTATATAGCCTTGAAATTTTTTAAAAGTAAAATTTACAAACAAAATACCTAAGTACAAACAGCAAGCCACTACATATTTTTAGTTTTTGTGTTTCCAATTAACTGGTTTTCCATGTAGTTCTCATTTGTTATCATCGAAAATATAAGCCAAAGGCCCTCCCACCAAAAATTACCCTACCATGCCTGAATCTGCAGATCAATGCTAATGAAGACACTTACTGCCAAGAATTTCTGTAACCGCTTCTCGAGTCACTAGTGTTTCTGATTCCAAGTATACAACAAATGCTGCCAAGAAGACCAAGCGCTGCAACACAAACCTCCAGTGCTCATGAAATCTATGTGAATACAAGCATATTTAGGTTGATGGACTAGAGGCCTTAAAAAGACAGGTTTAGTACGGTCAAATTCAAACATTTTAGAATTGGAATCCTTTCTCAAATAAAATTTTAAATGAAACGCCAATATATAAAACATGTAAGAGCAATATGATATTTAAATGTATTAGATGAATTTAGTATAAATATTGCAAGTTCCAATTTATAACAATTACTTATTAAAAGTTTAATACATAAGCATTATCCAATTTTACGAATACAAAAATTTACAACTGAGTATTATGGACAACAAGTTTAATAAATAAAAACAATGATACTGCTCTGAGGAAAATAAATATTGGGAACTGAAGACTGATGAGAACAACTGTACATCAGCTTCAACACCTAACTCATTCCCACATTTTGAGTGTAGGATATCAAGAAAATCCTGATTCACACATATAAGAAAAAAAGTTATTACTGCAATCACTAAACAGATAGCCTTAAAACCTCAGGATACTACAGTTAAACTGAGCTAGAAGCCTGAAAAAGAAATAAGAAATTTTATAACTCCTGGCTATTTATGCTATGCCTCCTGATTTTCAAATGTAGAAACAAATTCAGAAAAATATTTCAACACAATGAGGGCCAAACAAAATCTTCTGAGGGCCAAATCAGCCATAGGGCAGTCTATGTGCAACCTCCAAATAACGATGTCTAAAGACCCTGCAATTCTGTTGTCCTACTTTTCTACGCTTCCATTACTAGCTTAGCAGGGGTTGGCAAACTTTCTCCTTGAAGGGCCAAATAGTAAATATTTTAGGCTTTGCAGCTCTCTTTCAGTCTGTTACATATTCGTATTTGGCTGTTTGGTTTTTTTTTAACAACCCTTGAATATATAAAAGCAACTCTTGGCTTCCATAGGAAGCAGGCCTCAAGTAGTTTGCCAATCCTTGCTTTAAACAGTGCTGTGAGGTTGTGTTATCCAATCCCCACATACATATCCTATACATGGCCCATGCATGTGTCTTAAATGAATCTTTTTCAGTAATGGAACAAACATAAGTAGAAATTTTAGGTTCTTATATTTACCATATTTCATCAATATTCAGATGCAGTTTTTCCATTTAATATCTGTGAAATCAGGATGCATTTTACAATCTACATGTTTCACAATTATGACTGGCAATAATATTTCTCCCATGGAGGTACATAAAATAACGTGTACCTTAAAATTAATGGTGGCATAAATTCAACAATATATGGCATAAAATACTAAATACATTATTTAGCAGTGAAAATCAATCTTTGAGGTAAAACTCAACTCCATATATATCCTGTCACCTAATCCTATAAACTTAATAGCACAGATATGGTTCACCCAATTTCACAAGTAACTTAAATATACTAAAAAAGATATTCTCTCCTCTGATTTCATACAACAAATACTTTCTGTTTTTTCACTGCAAAAATTATATGTTCTTTAAGAAAATTTTGAAAATAAAAGAAAACCACTAATTTTGTCATCCTTAAAATACCACCATTAACAGTTTTTCTTTTTGTTCATATTCTATGTAAAGAGATTTTTACCTAGTTCTAAGCAGTCATTCAGTACATATAATTTTTCTGCCCTTTTTTTTTAACATTATAAAATAATGCCACTTTTCTTACAAACCTGTAATACTGTTCAGCAGGGAACTTGGTCTTCAAAGACATCAGATGTGTTTTTACAGTACCAAAATGTTCTCGAGCTTTCAAACACCTCTTTGGAACTGATCACACACACAAAAAAAAAGATAATCAAACATAAAAATTCAAGACTTACCAAATTTCAAATACAGTTCTTGCTTAATAATCTATGCAGTCTACCTGGAAATAAATCAACTTTTTTAAAAAAGCCTGTGACTAAATGTAGGGTATGCATCTCTTCAACCTGGCTTTCTAAGTTTCACCTCTAGTTTAACCAATACTGATTAACCAATACTGAAAAATAAACAAAAGCCTACTGAAGGGGAATGTTAGGGAACACACTGGTAAGCTATTATAAATAATCTCACCCTTACAGGGCTGTGCACCAGATGCATTCCTAGGCAGTTCTCAAAGGAGGCCTAATGTTGAACAGCTTCTAGCACTCATTACTTGATCAAAAAGAAGTTTTATCAATTACTCTCAATTAGGCTAACCAACTACATATCATTAAGAAAAATGACTTGCCTCCAAAACCTGTAAATTACATTATTACATAATTCTCTATCTGAAAGGTATTTCAACTCTTTCAGTTATGCTGGCTACATCTTACAATGGAGGTTCCATGTCTGAATTGTTCATAATTGATCTCCATTCAACAGGCTAACTGTAAACACACTCTGAACACTTTACACTGTCCATTTCATATCTACAAGTTCATATTAAACCACATTCAGCCCTGGCTGGTGTGGCTCAGTGGGTTGAGCACCGGCCTACAAACTGAAGGGTCACAGGTTTGATTCCCAGTCAGGGCATATGCCTGGGTTGCAGGCCAGGCCCCCAGTTGGCCCATGTGAGAGGCAGCTGAACCATGTTTCTCTCCCTCTTTCTCCCTCCCTTCCCCTCTCTCTAAAAAATAAAATCTTTAAACTATATTCAATGACTGACAGGTTGGGTGCTTTTTTAAACGGTAAATAAAAGTTGCTAGATACACAAATGACCTATGATACTACTCTACTACTATTATCATTAGTATAACTCCATCACAATATAAAGCATTCCATGTTACGTGAAAGTGAAAAATCAACCAAATCACAGAATTCTGTAAACCTGTGAAAATGATCAACTCACCTACTTCTCCAATTTTTATTCAACTTAAAACATGACAGATGTTTTTCATAATAAAATGACACAAAGTGGAAATGTCTTTTGAATGGAAATAAACTCTAAATGAGATTGATCAGTTGGATTAAAACCTTCAAAATCAAAACAAAGCACTTACTGTCCTGAAACCCAGCACCCTGATGGACCCCTTGCAGTAGAGTTAAAATCTCCCGAGCTGTTTGTTCTAAACTCTGTACTACTTTTCGGATTTCCTAGAAAGAATTAAAAATCAAAGTATTAGATAAACATTATTACCATAACCTAAAACCAATTCAAAACACTAACAATCTTTACAAGTACTGAGCTGGTTCAGAAAATACCCAGGTTTGAATCCTGACTTTTCCACTTACTTCCTCTATGAGACCTTCAGGGAGTCATTAAAAAGCTTTAGGTTTCTCATGTAACCTTCAGAGGATAATAGATACCCACCCACGCTAACTATGCCACAGGAAAGCTATAAAAATTAAAGGAGATAAAGTATCTATATGTAATTTGTAAAGAGAAGAATGAAATGCAAGACAAGGGATGGGTATTTTTTTCATTCATTCGTTTTACAAATATTCACTCAATACATTTATGTGCTACGCATTGTGTAAATACTGAAGAATCAAGTACAGTTTTTCTGACAGCTTTAAGGACAATGAGAAAGACGGAAGTTTAAAAAATAAGAATCGCACAAATTTCTTAAAATGTTAATACGTTACTAGAAAACAAGACAAGCAGAAAGGCCATTTGGGCTGTGAAATCCAAGAGATGAATATGAAATAACCAGAAAAAGAGTGGAGAGAAGCAAATTTCAGGAAGAGCAGCGTACATCCAAAAACTCTGAGGCAGGCAACTATTTGGGGAACTAGAGAAATGAAAGAGAGGCAAAGTGAACACAATATACAACAGAAGATGGCATAAAATGAGACTGGAGACAGAAACACACCCACCCACCCACCCACCTGTAGGTCACAAAGAGTTGGACTTTCATCCTATGTAGAATGAGCAGCCATAGTTGTTAAGAGAAGCCAAACGTGCTTTTGACACCGACAACACATAAAACGCACGTTGTCTGAGTCCCAAGAGCTAACTGAACCATTGACGTAAAACAGTGTTGAAAAGGAGGAAAACAGACACTCAAAAGAGGTAGGTGACGCCGAGGAGACGAGACCGGAATCGGGAGTGGAAGGAGTAACGCGCCGGAGGCTGGAACAAGAGAGGGACCAAGCCACCGTCGGAGGCTTCACGACCGCTCGAGACTAACTCAAGAAGGGCCGGGCGGTGTCGCCCACCTAACCAAGGAAAGGAAAAGGGGATTGTTAGGGAAGGGGCTCACCTCCCGGATGTCCTGCTCGGCAGCCAGAAAACCCTGTAGCTCCACGAAGATCTCGCTCACAGACATGGCGCCGGCTGCACAACTTTCAGACAGCGTGGCAAGAGCAGCCGGCTAAATGTGTTCCACAGGCAACCAGTTTGTAGCGGGTCTAAACGGCCGCCACCACTGACGCTTCGTCCGCTGGGGCCTGAACTACCTCCGTCGCTGAGGTCCTCCGAGGCCCTCGGCGCGCAGGAAATCGGGCTGTCCGCCGCGATGCCTGGGGTGCCGCCCACGCCCCCCAAAGCGGAGGAGCGCGCTCAGAGGATAGCGTAGGGCAGGGGCGCGTGGGCGGGGCTTTCCTCGGAGGATCTTCCATCAGGCCTGGCCGGAAACAGCTCGGGAAGCGGGCACGCAGGGCAGGTGGGACTGACGGAAATGGGGGTGTGGTTTGGATGTGGTGCGAGCACTTAACGTTAACTTAGGAAATGAGAAAGGAAACAATACGTTATTTTTGAAAAAAATGCAGGGGAAAATAAGAGTATGTGGAATGGGAGCAAAAATTTTATCCATGTGCTTTTAACGGCTTCTCTGTAGGTATTGATATTACCTATGTTTAAATTACATGTTTTCACGTGTCTTGTTAACCAGTAGTCTTTGGTGCCAATTCAATGCCAACAGGAATCCCAATTTCAGTGGAAAACAGCTCAATTATTATGCAGCACAACTGTGAGGACCCTGGTCCAGGCTTCTCTTTGCTAGACAGTTCTGCTTTGTTCCACGCTGGTCTAACCTGAGCTGGGAAACTCCCAGCAAGAGGAAACAGCCTGGGGGAGCTGGCGTATACAGACAGAAGGCCCTAGCAACCTGGTTCCTTAATAATCTGTCCTCATGCAAATGAGGGCTCCAAATTGTCACAGTATGATTAGTTCACAAGACACTGTCCTGATTGGTCAGAATGGAGCCACTCTGATTGGGCAATGAAGAAGCTAATATAGTTGTGCAGCTCCAATTGGGTGGGGAAAGGCAGTCCTATCGTTGAACTAGCTAGGATTTCAGGAATTCCTCCCCAGCGTTAGGTCAGATGGCAGAAATACAGTGCAGGCAGGCAGTTCAGTGCCGCTTTCTCCCTGAAGAGCTGTTTGCATGAGAGGTTTCTGTATAGACGTGGCTGCTAGGCTCCCCTTTGATTGTTTGTTTGTTTTTAGATTTGAGCCCAGTTGGCCACTGGTAGCCCTTTTTAGATAGTATTTTCTTCTTTGGGTCCATAGTGTAGAGGAGGAAGTTTCTCCTATAGTCAAATAACACCTTCCCCCAATTCCACTTTCTTAACAAAAGCACTGCAAAGATTTCATTTGTCCTTGCAAGCATTCTTCCCTACATCTGCCCAAGAAATACAAATATTTATGTATGTATATGCAGGAGGCACTCTCCAAATAAATTAAGATGATTTCTTATATCAACTAAATGATCATTTATTGTTTGCTTTGTGCCAGACATTATTCTAAAACTTTACATGAAGGATCATATTTTATCTTCTAATACTTCTGTGAAGTTGATACTGTTGCTGTAAGTGAAGTAAAGATGATAACAGATTAATTGCCTTTCCAAAGGTCATAGGCAGCTAGTAAATGTTAAAACTGATAAAAACATTAAACCAAATGGTTTGTCTTAATCACTGCACAATTATCATCTACCTACCATTTAACACTATTTATAAGAGGCTTTAAATACTTTATCTAACTTGACTTCTACAGCCCTAATGAGGTGACAGGTTAGAAAAGTTCAGTTTTAGCATCTTGCTCAAACACAAGATATTTATTTTGTCTATGGGCTTCTGACATCATGTGACCTTTTGTAGTCCAAAAATGTAGGTAGAATTTCACAATTCACCAAAAAAGGGATGAAGATAGCAATAGGAGCTCATTTTTATTGATTTAATGCCTGCCAAACTGTTCTTACTGTTCAAATTGTTTGTTCAAACTGTTTTTGTGTACTAACTGAACTTTATACAAATCAAAATTCATTTTTTCAAATCCTGCAACATATTTCTCCGTGCCAACTCAAAGACTGTGACTTTTAAATTCTAGCAGAAACAGGAGTCTACAAAATCACTTTAGTTCTGAAAAATCCAGTGATTTTTAAGCATCCCATAAAGAGAATCTTCTTCTCATTTGTCAAGTTAGAATTAGTAATACCTATCTCTAAAAGTTATGAGGATTAGCAATAATGTGTGTAAAAGACTACTTTCTATTTCTGAATTTGATTACTCAGGTGCATAGAAGTGGGATTCATAATGTATTTGTCTTTTTGTGACATTACTTCACTTACGTATCATAGTGACCACAAGGTTCACACGTTATACTTTGTGTCAGAATTTCATTCCATTTTAACTCTGAATATTCCATTTTATGTATATACTACATTTTGTTTATTCACCTGTCAATGGACATTTAAGTTGTTTCCACCTTTTGGATATTATGAATAATGCTGCTATGAACATGGATATACAAATATCTACTTGAGCCCCCGATTTCAATTTTTGAGATATATAACCTGAAGTGGAATTGTTGGATCCTATGGTAATACCATGTTTAATTTTTTGAGGAGCCTTCATACTGTTTTATAAGCCCTTTCACACAACTTTTTTTTAGTCCTTACCCAAAAACATGTTTCAATTGATTTTAGAGGAAGAGAAAGAAAGAAACATCAATGTGAGAAAGAAGCATCAATTGGTTGCCTCTGTTATGCACCCCAACGAGAGGACCGAACCTGCAACCTAGGTGTGTGCCCTGACTGGAAATCAAACTGGTCAACCTTTCGGTGCATGGAACAATGCTCCAACCAACTAAGCTACACAGCCAGGGCTTTAACACTATTTTTTTAATAACTATTTTTATTCCATCCTTCCCACAAGAATTTTAACCCAACATAAAAGTATTTATTGTTCAAAATCTTTTGATTATCCACAATAATCCCCTAAAAATTAATATAAATTAAAATGCGAACTCTTATCATCCTAAGGAACTAGATGTTAAATCCTTCTAGATTTTCATTCAACAGTAGTACATGGTTGATCAAAACAACATAAATGTATTATGCATTTTATAAATGTTAAACAATAAAAGTAAACATTTAATGGAATTGATCTTTAAATGAAATGAATAGAGCTATACGTTTTTTCCAATTCATGTAGTTCTAAATGAACAGTCTATAAATAGGTAGGTAGGTAGGTAGGTAGGTAGAATTGCTGAGAAATTAAATTCACAGTAATTATCCCCTAGAGACTTTCCTCATTATTCTTTACAAGAAGCAATGTGGAAGCCTAGCAAACTCTCAGTATAGAGTCCCACCTGACATCCTCACTGTGTTAATTAATCCCACTGGTGCCTACACCTCCCTTGAGGCATGGGTTGGGCTTCAGCAATGCCTTCAGTTATGCTTCTCATAGCAGCTGCAACCCAGTTCCAACTCCCCTATCGAGCTCATAGAGGCTGTGGCTTCACCAACAGCTTACCAGAGGGGTTGTATACATAACCTGAAAGTGTGTGAGGTTAACACTCCAGGGGCAAACTTTGACCAGTGAAAGGCAGGATATGGTCACAAGCCCACAGATAAATTCCTTGCCCTTTCTCTTCCTAACAGACTATTGCAAGAAAAAAAAATAGTTCCATGCAATCTTTCCAGAATGTCCCATGTAACTGAGCAACTAATCAGGTTTCTTGTAAGACTGTGACCAGTGTTAATGATGCACAATGTTGTATTTGTTTGCTGTCCTTTGCTGCCTGACTTCCACTTGTCCCTGACTCTCAATGACCTGAAATTCACACATCAACTGAAATAAAATGTTAGCACCGAATCTTTGTTTTAGACTTTGACTTCTTGAGAATTCAGTCTAAGATGTCGATGAAGGTAAGTGGAAGGAATGGAGTTCTATTATAGCAATTTCACTCAATATCTTAAATTCCTTGCTAGATATTGGCCAGAATAACAGTGATTTCTCATCCAAATTTGTTTATAATTATTAATGGACATTTAACATAGATTTTCCGTCAATGCTTTTGCAAGCAAAGAATTAGATTCCAACTTACAAAAAAAATACTTACAAAATGTTGTGTAATCAGCCATTAGCTTGTCCACTTTCCCAACACTTAAACCAATATTTCAAATTGGTCCTCTGTCTAGTGGGCTACAAGTTTAAGCACTCAATGGCAATGCACCAAGCAATGCATCATAGTAACATTTGAATGATTAGAGATTTTGCTTTCTTTTGTAAATTACAATAAAGTCCACAGCTCAGGCAGCCTTACTTTGTGAAAAATAGGATTTATGTCATATCCACCAAAGTCATCAGCTAAGCATCTGTTCCTTCTTATCCCCTTAAGTCCCTACTTGGGCATTGGCTAGTTTCACGATGGTCATACTCTGAATCCACAAACTAATCTAACCTGGGTTAGTGCTTGTCTCACTGGGTGGCTGATGTATGAAAGTCCCATACTTTACTTTAAGATTTAATACCTTAATTGCTGTTAACTACACCAACATGAGGCTTTGCATAATAAGTTGTATGTACTGAGAAACTATGAGGAACCAGAGAAATTGCAAAGCAAAAGAAAAAACTTAATCCCTGGCTAGTGTAGCTCAGTGGATTGAGCATGAGCCTGTGAACCAAAAAGGTCGCCAGTTCGATTCCCAGTCAGAGTACATGCCTGGGTTGCAGGCCGGGTCTCCAGGAGGGGTTGTGTGAGAGGCAACCACACATTGATGTTTCCCTCCCTCTCTTTCTCCTTCCCTTCCCCTCTCTATAAATAAATAAATAAATAAATAAATAAATAAATGAAATTTTTTTAGAAAAGAACACTTAAAAACAAAAGAAAAGAAGAAACTTAAAACTGCACTGTTCCCATAGTCAAAAGAAAAAGCAAAATAAAAGAAGCAAAAAGCTTGTTACTCTTTTACTATTCTTTTACTTACAACCTGCTTATATAATTGTATTTGAAGTGAGTTTCTCGCAGACAGACTGGGTCATGTTTTGATTTTTTTTTTAATTCACTGACCGATCTCTGTCTTCTATAGGTATGTTTAGGCCATTTACATTTAATGTAATTATTGATATATTAGTGCTTGTCTTCCATTTCCATTTCTGTTTGTTCTCTGCTCTTCATTTCTCTGTTTTCTTTTTCCTGCCTTCTTGTGAACTTTCTTATAATTCCACTTTACTTATAGTGTTTGTAATATATCTCTTTGCATAGCTTCTTAGTGGTTGCTCTAGGCATTTCACTACACACACACACACACACACACACGCACATA